CTAAAGTCGGGTTTCACTCTTGTTACAGTTCATTAGTAATGTGCATCTTTACCATGGCTGGGAATAGAACTCCGGCCACGCTTTCATTAGGCCATCATGTTGATCGCTGCGTCACTGACCTTACATGTGGCAAGACCGGTTATTGATCTGTCTCGGAAGTCACAATCGCAGGGCTATCAATCGGATTCAACAGACAGTAACTGCGTCTCTTAACCTGATCATGTACTGTTCTCAGGCAAAGGAGATACCGGCTACATCACATCACGCACCTAGGCTATGTGCATTCCTCGAGAAGGACACTACAGATTGTCTTTATAGGTTGTCAACATCGTGCCACTATGAGTAAGTGCAGTTCATGCTTTCTTGCTAAATATGATAGACTACGGCCGCAATGGCCCAATACCATAGTAACATTGCTGATTCATAGTACCAGCACCTTGTTCTTAATGATCATTCATTTCTATCGATCAGCTACCAACGGCGTACAACTGATTCTATCTCGCAATGACAGGACTATATAAGCGACGGTGGTACTAACTACAATAAACAGAGGGATTATGTACAAATGGAGTACCGTTCATAGTACATCTTATCTTGGTTCCGGCTCTACAGCCTCCAACGGATGCACTTGTCCCGAGTTTCACTCTTGTTTCTACACAGCAATAATGTACATCCCCATTTCAGCGAAGAAGCAAATTTCTGGGAACGTTTCCCCCACTACTCTGTTAGTCTCTTCTTACACATAACGGAATAGTCACAATCTCCCATGAATCAAAAATCATTTTATCCGATTACATCGAGAAAAGAAACGATAGCTGCTGTTCATGGAACATGAACCTATCCTCAGTCTAGAAGGATGAGCAATGTATATTGAGGCGTAAGTGTTTTGTTCTTTTATTCTGGCGAACTAGACGACTCAGTCAGTTTATACTCATTAAGATAGCCTATGTAGTCGTATTGACCTGATGGTGAATTATAGAAAACATGTTCGTCACGCTGTTTCTTCTATGACTAAACGGGGATTTTCACGAACCTTTCTGCCTTGTTAACTTCGAGCAAAATGTGTCAGTCAGTTTGGAACCAGCGAATGCACCAAACTCTCAAATTACTGTGGCTGTTACCACAGTTGGTATCAGCGTGCCTTCATGAACCGATTCTAAAAGACAGCAAAACTCTCGTTACAAAAACCAGAGCCCTCTGATCGGTCACATCTTGTGCGGTGGCGACCAGACTGGAGTCAAGACAATCTGCACTCCGGTCCGGTAACTTTGAGGTCCGACTAAGTGTTTTTGGATTCGTACCCCAATAGTTGTTTCTTACTATGCCATTTCCAACATGTCCTACATGTGCTTTGGACGTGTCATCCCGCGAGTCAAACAGGCGGGTAGCAAAGTAGGTCGTGTACTGTAACGAGTAGATTAGGGGCGAGCAAACGCTACGTGCAAGCGTAAGCGCAAACTGAAAGCAAAAGCATTGGCCAATAGAACGGTTGACTCAAACCTGCAGACTCGCATACAAAGTCCACAGTCCAAACCAACTTACAGCAATTACACCTGGAAAGCTTACTCAAACATCCCACATAAAAAACATACTAATCGATTCGGGTTAGCTAACGGGCACAACACGTCGCTAGAACCATAACAGGACTGGCCGGCAGGGAGGTATTCGTGCATTCCTGGTCAAGTCACTCGGCTCCATCGTCCCAGTGTTTCAATTACCATAGTCCACGACCGATAGCACTTAGCTGTTCACACACGTCCCCACTATGGTTACCGCGCATTAACGGCAGCGCAGCATTGGGAACCAGCATGCATCAGTGAGCAAAAATGGACCGAACTATCATATGACATTACCCTAACGGATTGTGTTACCACGATAATTTTTCACCAAAAGATGGATAATCATTAATTGCATTCATGGTTGAACCGGGTTTGATATATGACTTCTAATTTAAAATGTCTCGATACCACTTTCGCGTGTCTCGATGTCAATCTAGGATGTCCCTACAGGGTGAACAGGGTCGCACAGCTAATGTTCGCATGGTTAGGCTAATAGACACAGGGATTAGTTAGAGGACAAATCAGAGCATGCAGTAACCAAAACTAGTGCGTTGGATCCGGTTACCGCACTGACGGGAGTGTAAGCTACAGGGACGGAGAAAACATCCGGGCAGCAACTCTGATAAACCGGTCCTCTGTACTCTGTGGGTGCATGAACAACCCACTCAGACTGGCATAGGCCTCGGCCTTCGCAGTTGTCTGAAAGGCCCGAGAGGTCAGACAAGTCTTATCTCGGATGCTACAGTGATTGCCGTCTGAGTAGCAGTTCATGGTTGCCTCGACAGCTGAAGGTAGGGCCGTAGTGGACAAGTGGGTATACGCTCGACCCTCGTCCACTAACAACTTAAAACGCCTTTTCCTGAAGAGCTGTCGGAACGTAATCCAAGCAGACATCGAACTAAAGGAACAGGGTTTAAAAAAACGTGTTTTCCCAGTAACGTTTGAAAAATGCGATAAGCAGTTAGCTCTAGCCTAGTCTGGGGCAGAAAACAAAATTAAGAAAGAAAAGGGACGCGGAGGTGAACCCTTGCCAACTCGACAACATTCCAAAGCGCGCCAAGCGAAAAGTGCGTGGAACCTTCGAGTACGTTAAGCAACGCTCGAAAAAGTACATGTTGAACGACCTTGAAGAATGGAATAATGAATATGAAAGCAGTAACTGGGGTGAGCCAGAAAAAACGGTCAATAGAGGTTGTGGACGGCGTGTTTGTTATCAATTACGCAATCACTGTTCCAAATCGTGGGCTTGATTGATTGTGGGCCAGGGGAGATTAAGTGTCCGCACGAACTTCTTCTGTGCGCAGAGGTCAGGGTTACGCAATCGGATACTAATGGCCTCGGCAACGGTCAACATTCGAAATCTCACCATTTTTGATCGATTCCTTGGCACTCGGTAGACAATCTGGAAAGCGTCCTTCTTATTGACAGAATGATTAGAGTCAATCAAATGAGCAACAATCGCGCTTGAAATCGTTCTAACCACACCACTATTCAACCACGCAGGATGATGTTCACACACTCTGTCAGACAATCGCCTTGTAGTACGACCAATGTATGATGCTCGACACGAGCAAACAAATGAGTACACACAACAGCTGGTTGTAGAACAAGGAAGTTTGTCTTTGAGTTGTGACATGATAACGGGTGTTGAACGGAAACTCACGCACAATTGAGCGGCAAAGTAGGTTGATTCGACTGACTTTTTGAGCTTTCTTGAGATAACTTCGGTCATGGGGTCTCCCTTAGTCTGATGATCAAACACGGAAAACCAGCCTGTTCGCTACTTTGTCGTTCTCATGACTCTTCATTGGGTATTTTCGAACGAATGGAATAATTTATTAATGTTAGAGGAATAACAGGCATCCGCAGCGTGCAATCAGCTGCACAACTGAAGAAAGTGGCACTGAGTTCGTATCAGGCCTCCTATAGCAGGAGTACACGGAATCATGCGTACAGAACAAACAAGCCGGGCACCTTAGAGAAGTCACACGATCGCTGGTCACGCAGGGCTGAAACACCCGAACAGGACCGATCGTCCACGAAGTGTGGGCCCGGATAAAAAATCCGGAGTCGAAACCGGAGGGCTTGCCTAAAATAGCCCTTAACCCAGTCAGGTTAACGAGTGGTCTCAGCAAACAGCTGTAACCATGACCATCCGAGTCGGAAAGGGGGTTAACGTGCATTTCAGGTCAAGTCGCTCAACCCACCGTCCCAGGTGCCGGCCACCATGTCTAGGTTGATAACACGATATATAATATATATATATATATATATATATATATATATATATATGGGCATATCGAGAACGCTGGTTGAAAATTACCGAACGGCGATTAACCTAACTAGAATTAAACTAGCGCAATAATTTAGAGACATCGCGTTAAATCGGTCGCCCGAAAAATTTGATATTTCTACAAAGTTAAACATCACTCGTTATAATGTGAAGTCTGGTCAGTTTTAAATGATGCTATTTTACGAAACGGACTAATTGTGACGTACCACAAAATGTAAACCTGTTAACGTGTTTAGAAAAGGGCAGTGTATGTATAGCAAACAATCGTCCATAGGATCTATGTGAATTAAACAGTAAAATCCACACAGAACAGAACAGAAACTTGCTCATCTAAAGACGATTACAACCTGATTTACTGGCTGATGATATATTCATGTTATCAGGTAATGTACTTTCTACAGTACCACATAAAATCACATTTTGTCGACCGTCGTTTTCATATCTTCGGGCATTGTAGAACCGCTCCGTTCATCAGCTCTTTTCAACTGGCCTTAAAAAGGAACCATTTCTGCATGAAATTTGATTGCCTGATTTGAGTTCCACGTTAGTCACTTTATGTGTACGGTTGTGCTACGTGCACTGATGTCCACTGAAGTGGAGAAATTGTCAACCGAACTGCTGTCAGGCTAAGTTTAAGCAGCTATGCTTCATTTACACATTTTGCCAGTTTCACTGATGGATTAATAAGATGTCTGAACAATGATTGTGTATGTGAACACTTCCATACACTGACTTAGTATGTGACTGAGACGTTTTTGAGTGGTTGATATGCAATGCTCTGTCTCAATTACCTTATTGACTTCGAATATGAAGTCCACCGTTATTAGAGTATTCCACAGTTTCAGCATGTAACCACAGTGTTAGTTCAATCGACATAGTTTTCTTGTTGATCCGACTGCACACAGTAGTGTACCGATCGCTTGTAAGCAGAACATCGTGCCACCATGTAGTTTTGCTTCACACAACGAGGAATACGATTTAATTAACATTCTGAGGCATCTACGTACAGTACAGTGAATTGTAAACTCCACGTTTACAAAGTATATTTAACTACTCGTAAAATAGAGCGTATTCAAAAAACCGTATTGACAAGTGAATGTGTTTGCCCCGTACCAGGTCTATAGTTATCAATACTATTAACAATAGTCATTGCTATACCACGTTTGAAACACCGATTCTCGTCCGGTCACTGAAGTTAAGCAACGTTGGGTCCGTTTAGTACTTGCTAACAACGACGTTCCGCAAGGATCAATCTTAGGACTCCTGTTATTCATTCTTTTCGTTCTTGAATTACTCTGTATGATCAACTCGCCGATATTGCTTTACGTCGATGGCACTACGCTTTTGCAAGCTCTAGAGTATCCGGAAGATGTGGTGATCTTACAAAATGATTGAACTGCCTAAATCAATGGTCCATAGAAAATAACTTGCCGTTCAATGTCAACAAGTGTAAAGTCATGCACGTTCGCCATTATAATTGTAGTAGCTATTACCTTGGTAACATGAAGCTGCTCGTATCAGCATGTCAAAAAGACCCAGAAGGCACTGTAACAGACAAACTGAGTTTGTCTACAAATTGTGCTGTCATGGCTAAAAAAGCACAAATAACCCTGAACCCCTTAGGAAGAATTTGTGGAACCTTCCTGCCCTGAAGTGTTTCCCACTATGTTCACCTCAATACTCTACCCACACACGGAAACGAACATACAAAGCCTGTCATTCATACCTTATGATAAATTTGGAACTTACTAAAGGGGTTCAGAGACTAACCACTAGAAGAATTATAAAGCTCAGGAAAATCGCTACTCGGAAAGACTGGCAGAATTAGGTCAATTCTCAACAGATTACAAACACCTCAGGGGATACCTACTTCTTAGTTACGATACACTCCATACCCAAGGTCATCCATTCGCACATCTCCTCCCACTAAATAAGGATGAACGTTTAAGAGGTCACTCGTTGAAACTGAGTGATGGAACAGGCAAGTTACTTTATAGACAGAACTGCTTCACAGTTAGGATCTGTTCACATTGGAACACATCGGAACACACTGCCCAACTCTGTGATGACGGCTGAATCGATTGAGAGTTTTACTTGATCTATACTTTCAATTTCACTGAACGCACGTCGGATTTGTGGGCTCTGGGGAGACAACTTGGTTTTGTGTATCCGTCTGACTCTAGTTATATTGAGTTCTGCTAGATCGTGTTCTTTTCTGTTCACTTCAGTTTGTCGGAGAGCAGCCGTGCATCATCTAATAGTTGGAACGTCTGAAAGCGGGTTGGAACAACTACTGCTGCTCTGTACCAGAAAACGTCAGCTTCGTTTTCCAAGATTCGGCCTTACAGACAGATTGATGGGTAGCTATGGATAGCCCGCTCGGCCCTATTCTGACAGACATTTTTGTAACAAAGGCTTGAGAAATAAGCAGCAGAACGGTCATCTTCAGCGCAGCTATACAAGACGATATGTCGATGATATTCTTCTCATCGCAGACAATCAACTGTAAGCACAGAAGTTAACTGATCAAATGAATTCTCTGTATCTAAACATGCATTTCACTATAGAAGGAGAGAATAAACGCAATTTACCATTTCATGATATATGTATCAGGAGGAATACAGACGGTACAGTTCAACGAAGCGTCCATCGCAAGAGCACTTGGACAGGTCAGTACCTGCATTTTGAAAGCTTTGTTCCCCGATCCTATAAGCAAAGTTTGGTGCGCACTTTGTTTGATCGGGCCAGACGTATTTGCACTGAAGATATGTTTTAAAAAGTGATGGTTAAACGGTTATTCCATACCGTTTGTTGTAAGATGTAAACAACCGCTTAACGTAGGAATTCCATTAGGCATATTGTCCAAGAAACCTTCTCTTTAGGGGCGATGATGTATGTCAACTAATTTACTGTTTTCTGGCTAGTTCTATCCAGAGAGTCTGTTCAAAACAACTCACGTTAAAACGCCCTGTGTGAAACAACCGGTACCCGAGTCAGCCAAATCCAACGTTATCTATGAATATCGATGTAGATGCGGAGCATCCTACATAGGCAGGACTGAGCGCCAGTTGCGAACCCGGGTCATGGAGCACATCCCGAAGTGGGTCAAGAAACAGGTCACGCAAACACATGACGTCACAGCCGCGCATAGAAACAAGGAGCCTGCATCATCCATTGCACGTCATATTCTAATGACGCAACACCAATGCGATCCCACAACGGCATTTCGCGTTATCTACTCAACGTCACACAGGCGAACACTGCGCTATGCTGAAGCTGTTGCAATCCGAAAGTTCAAACCCGTGTTGTGTGTTCAGAAACAACTGTTTGTAGGGTTGTCGCTGTCATAGTAGTGACAGTTTCTGTTAACTCTGTCATTTGGCTCTCTCTGCTACCGTGTTCTCTTTCTCGTATTGATATATGAATGCTCTGTGGTATACACTTGTAATGATGCAGCAAAATCTTTTCGGATGTAAATCATGTAGTAACACTCTAGTGTCTTCTCTACTCACTAGTTTCTGTTCAGACAGAGGGGTTGTCAATCCGGCCTGACACGGTTTAACACGAAAGTCACGTAGGGCACGATAACGTACAAAACGTTAGCAAAAAATGACACAAGTCGGCCTGGAGATCAAGGTATCATCAACTAGACGCTTAAGACCAAGCACGTAGCTTCCAAAATGACAGCCGTATTAAACGATGAGAGTAAAGAGTGGTCGAAACACTTACGGTAGATAATAAATCCCTATAAGTTGAAACCACTCACAGTTTACTGCGAGTTCCGCATTAAATAAATACACTTTCCAACGGACCTTTTCCGTAAGGAGACGCCAGACACATGTTTCGTTCGTGTTAGTGCTCGCCAATAGGGCACACCCTACCCACGACCTAAGTCTGAGCTCCGGTACGCATCCCCGTAAGGCAACCGTGTTGACCCCTCTGCACAACCCAAGTATCACACCAAAGCGCCCGGCCATATTTGCACTAACGTGGCGCTGTGTTTGTTGAAACCCGCCGAGGTGTGACACAACAGCTGTCCTGATAATGTTCATCGACCATCCCACGGTGAAGGGTAGTTTAGGGGCAGGAAGCAATGAACTTGTCATGCAGTTTGTATTTCTTATTATATGGGTCCAAAACTGGAGGCTCAATTCACCTAAATTCAGTCAGTTGATCTTGTTGTGGCGCTAATTGATTTGAAAGGCAATCACTGAAGAGCGGTTGCGGCACCGTGAGTTACCGTAGGCACGAAGAACTGAATAAGGTGGTGAGTCGAAATATCTCTTGTGTAATAAAGATTTTAATAACCCTTTGAAATGTTCTTCAGAAGAACAGCCAACAACCTCGGACGGAAAGTCGTTCAGGCAGAAAATAATCGTTGACTGTGGAAAGTCCGGAGTCGGAGCTTGTGAAGCCTTCGTCTTGACCTTGTCGTCCGCCAACTGTCAGTGAAATAAAGAATTACTGTACGGCCCATATAATAAAGATAAATTGTGTAAAAATTGTCTTATCGTGGAGTCTTCAAAATTCGGATGAATAGGGATCAGGTTGAAACTCATTTGTGACACTTCTCAAACCCATATCCAGTCTGATAATCACTCAGTGAACAAGCGCAAGGGCGAGTGTGTATACACGACGTGACCGGCGTACTGAAACGGTGGTCTCACATATATCTTGCGAAACATTTGAAAAAGACGTAAATCAGAAATAGTAGACGACCGAGCCTAAATCTTTGCCTGATCCTGTGAATGTCAGAATGAGCAAAGAAAAGTCTGGTCCAGCCTTAACGTTAAAAGCCCTATTAACAGGAAAGTATGTATAGAGTCCATATGCCCCTCAAGTACGAGTTGTCCACATATCGCTTAGCTCAGTCACCTAGACTAGGGCAACATGATGTATACTGTTAAGCAACACAGTAGAGAACGGGGCAGATTTGACTACTAATTACTCCATGTTTCTTTTACCGCCTAACATTTCGTACGTCTAATATCTTTAGTTGCTGTAATTACATCTTAGACCTGAAAACTGATTAGACGAGCATACAGCGCAGCATGTCCACGTTCCTATCAGTTTTGGGAAGACTACCACCGGAACAAAACATTTATCACCGAATAGAAGTGTTTTCGATAAATTATCATCTTAGGTTGGTTCAGTTATGTGAGATTAGGGAATAATGAGGAAGTTATTGAGCAAAATGAAGCGATCACGATATTCCACCCAAAACCTTCAGTGTCACTTAATCTGAAGGACTGTATACGCAGCAATCTTATCCCTCTCTTGATCTATGCAGTTGACTGTTCCACGTACACTGGTAGCACTGTTAGGTGTTAGTCGGGAATAATTCGTGAACACTGACCGGCGTGGCCTCAGTCCGGAACAACATAGAATATCTGGTTTGCTGTGACGGAAATGCGGACACAGAAGACGGGCTTAGCATCGTCTACCGTTCCCCGACCTCTGTGTTGTGAAGGACCAAATGGCACATCCTGTCAATAACCGAGGCAGTCACAACCGAAGTTCATCGCCCGGACTTGTGTATTCAATAGCAGTTCGTTCATATCCTGGGATTACCACGGCCAGACACCCAACACACGTAACAATTTGATTCTCACCCTCCTACCCAACTTGAGTAACACTATCTATCTCTCTTGTGATTATAGCCACAACAGAATCGAAAAGTGCACTTTAAAAGCTATGCACCAATCGTATACAAACGCTGACTCGTGTGAACACTATGCCATCGAATTCGTAAAATCTGTTCGGATGAGCATATTTCTGAGGAGTTTGATTTTATTCCAACAGATTCTTATCCAAATGGATATCCAATTCGTTTTATCTACAAGCATTTTAAGCCGCTCGATTTCCGGCCAACCCACATAACTGTGTTCCTATCCAAACCTCTCAAAAGGGACGATTTAGCACTCTTCAAGGGACAAAAAATGGAGGCAACACTAAATCACACGTGTACGTCAATCAAGCTCATTCTGCTACACCGAACAACTCGCATGCCATCACATTCGCGAAATAAACCGGTGTCCTCATTGACCAATTCAAACTTTATATATGAATTTACCTGAACATGCGGTTTGCAGTACGTTGGCCGCATAGTGAGACTACTGCACACTCGTATCTCCCAAAATATTTTCTGAGTTCCAAAGTGGATCTGCAAAGAGTGCAACTACAAAACTTTTAAAGGAATCTGACGATCGAGTAGACTCCGTTAAAGCATTCCATATTGTTAAATTGCCCACTCGGATAAGCAGAACACGGTTGGTAA